CAAACCCTCCACCAATAACTAGCGTTTAGCTCTATCGAATATATGACACTCCATATTATGAATGTATTCGCTTTTAGGCAGACTATGTAGGCAAATGAACCTTCATAGACATACCGGTATGTACAGTTGGTCAACTTGTCACTTGCAAAAGACTCGTGAAGATCCGGGGTAGAAAAGGTCTTCAGCAACCCAGGCTTGCCACAAAAGGCGACTATGCTTGTAAGAGGCGACTAACGGGATCGGGTGGTCAGGCTGCTGACTTCATTGACACATGTTATCGGTTCCCAATTGCGCAGATCGATGGTCATGCTGTTGATCACTGGATTGTCTGGTCCAGACTCGATTATTTACAGACCGCCGCCATATAGCTGGAATATTGCTGAGTGCGGCGTAAAACTCAACTCACTCACTCACTCTCTCACTCACTTGCAAAACATGTCTCCCGACATATGTAACAAACAGCAAAATTAAATACAGACATCCTTCACTTTCTTGCTTACTGCGATTATGTGCCTGACTCTAAGGGTGTGGGTTGAAATCCCGGATGGGACTAGAAGCTGTACTTTATTTAGAAAGTGTAATCTAAAATAAACCATATGTTACATTTGACCACTTTCTACATGGCGATGTGTATTCATACTGTTTCAAGATACATCAGAACAGTACACATTCAACATCTGTGTGGATGCCATGAGTGAGAGCAAGAGTCAAGTTATAAATAAGCAGGTGCGCCTCATATAACAAATTAATTACTGCTATTATATTGATTATTGATTGCTGAATGACTGTGTAACCCAATAGTCCCGGGTTACCATCCAAACATCTTCCTTCCTTCCGTGTGACCCGTGAAGATCCGGACTAGAACTGATCTTTCACAACCCATGCTTATTATAAGATTCGATTTATGGGATCTGGGTCAGTCTCGCGGACTTAGTTGACACATGTCTGCATGTCCCGGTTGCGTAGTTTGGTGCTCATGATGTCAATCCCTGGATTGTCTGGTCATGACTTGATATTTACAGATCGCCGTCATATGTCGACACTATTGCTGAGTGTGGCGTTAAACAACAAACAAACATCATGATCACTGGATTGACTGGTCCAGACACGGCTATTTAGTCCGTCGTCATAAAGCTAGTATATTGGCGAGTGTGGTCTAAAACAAACAAAAAACAAGAAACCACTAATTGGATATACGATACTGCAGACTCCATGACCCGTAACCATTAACGTACAAAACATCTTTATTCCATGCTCCCGTGTATTGACATTGAAGGGAAAATAATGTGCTTCAGGAACTGTGAGACAGAATAAACAGCTGTGACTTATCATATGAAATTGATAACCATGCGTTGGAAATAACTATATCTATTACTTTGTTAAGATTACATGCTATTCACAACTGTTCATCACAGTTGTCCTTACTCTGACAAATATTCAAAACTTCATCTGTTCTCGATGGCGTGTGGACTGTCTGTTTGCAGACTGTTTGTACCTCCTGATACAACGGCGAAGTGTCCTCAAAGGTGGAAGTTGGGAGGAGGAAGCTTCATCTATGGTTGTTACGCCCTGCATGAGAATCTGTTGGGGTGTTTCTAAAGTGTCAACTGCCTTACGCTTAATGGTATTTCTCACTTTAGCAACTTTTGCTTCTCTCAAGTCAGGTGCATGTGTGTGATCATGCAGTTTAATAAAAACAATCCTATCAAGAAGGGGTGGGGGTGGAGGGGTTGGGTTGGGAGTGCGTGTGTGTCACTTTTAGTTGATGGGGGCACTTGTCCGGGGGCACAATGGACGGGGGCAGGTAGCCTGGGGGCAGTTGTCGGGGGGGCAGTTAGCCTGATACCGTTTTCGAGTTAGTTTGCAATTCATCGGACTGTAATATGGTAATATTTATCTATGAGCAACAGTAATCCAACTTGCAACTAGACCCGGGAGGGTGTACATCATACACAGTGTAATTTGAAATGTAATGGTTGGTTGGTTTTATAGTTTTAGGGCGACGTGGGCCAATAAGAGGCCTATTTGCGCCCTTGAAATGTAATGTGAGAGGTAGGAGTTAACTCCCCTTATAAGCCTAAAAAAGATACATGTACTAGAAAATTCTGCACACGGCAGATGATTCTGGAATAAACTCCTTGCAGCGCTTTCCAGATCTTTCTGTATAAATCTAGCACAAGTCTAACAGCACACAACAGCCCCTCACTGACTATCCACATATGCAATGTATCACACATGAAATATTGTTATAAAATCGAGTAAATACAGCCTAACGGTATCCTAAAACGAACATCAGTGATAATCCTCGAGGATTGGTCCACGTGACCCTGAACAAAATTCCATATACACCGCCCACCAGGTGGATACAGTTTTACCCCAAAGCAGGTCTGATGGAAACACTATTGGAACTCATAACAGACCTGTTAGTGTAAATACAACACGACATCGATTCATTTTTGGGGAATGCTTTCGTTGTCTCTTAAATGACCAACCAAATGGTGTAATCTAACGACGTCTTATTGACATTACGTAACACGTCTGGTATAATAATGTCATTGTATTCACTTCCAAGGACTCGCGTTTGTTTGCAAGTAAACACCAGTCTCTTTATTCACTGTGCATCACAGTTTTACGTGAACATCCTATCACCAACACATACAAGTATGTATCTACATTGGATCCAGCTTATTACTTCCTAAATCCTGCCATCACACTCCAAATCTGCCCCCACATCCTAATCCAGCTATTACTTTCCAAATCCTGCTATCACACTCCAAATCCTGCTCCCACATCCAAATCATTACTTTTAAAGCTATCACACCCAAATCTTCGCCCCATCCTAATCCAGCTTATTACTCTTAAATCCAGCTTACTACACCCAAATTGCTGCTGTCTATATTGTCCAGCTATTACATCCTCCAGCCATCACACCTAAAATCTTGCCCCTACATCCTAATCCAGCTATTACTTTCCAAATCCCAAGCTATCAATCCAAATCCCACAATCCAAATCATCATCCCCAAATCCAGCTCCACAATCCAGCATATCTCCAAACATCACACTCCAATATCTAAATCTTCCAAAGCCCCCACATCCAAACCAAGAACCCATCACTATCAACATGCCCCACATCCTAATCCAGTCCAAATCCAGCTATCACACCCAAATCTCTACAATCCAGGATCACACTCATCTTGCCCCACATCCTAATCCAGCACATTCAAACACATCCAGCTATCATCACACTCCAAATCTCTGTACATCTCCAGCCATTATTTCCAAATCCTGAACCAAATCCTCTGCCATATTTCCAAATCCCAAGAACATCAAAATCGGCTATCACACCCAAATCTTCTCACATCCAAATCCAGCCCACATTCCAAATCCAGCCATCACACCCAAATCTCGCCCCACATCCCAATCCAGCCATTACTTCCAAATCCAGCCATCACACCCAAATCTCGCCCCACATCCCAATCCAGCCATTACTTCCAAATCCAGCCATCACACCAAATCTCGCCCCACATCCCAATCCAGCCATCACCAAAATCCATTCGCCCCACACCTAAATTCCCCACAGCCCCACATCCAATCCAGCCATCACACCCAAATCTCGCCCCACATCCCAATCCAGCCATTACTTCCAAATCCAGCCATCACACCCAAATCTCAGCCATTGCTTCCCCCAGCCATCACACCCAAATCCAGCCATTACTTCCAAATCCAGCCATCACACCCAAATCTCTCCAAATCCCCACATTTCGTCTCCACTTCCCAATCCAGCCATTAATCTTCCAAATCCAGCCATCACACCCAAATCTCGCCCCACATCCCAATCCAGCCATTACTTCCAAATCCAGCCATCACACCCAAATCTCGCCCCACATCCCAATCCAGCCATTACTTCCAAATCCAGCCATCACACCCAAATCTCGCCCCACATCCCAATCCAGCCATTATCTTCCAAATCCAAAGCCATCACACCAAATCTCGCCCCACATCCCAATCCAAATCTCGCCCCACATCCCAATCCAGCCATTACTTCCAAATCCAGCCATCACACCCAAATCTCGCCCCACATCCCAATCCAGCCATTACTTCCAAATCCTGCCATCACACCTAAATCAAGCCCCAAATCAAGCCTTAACATCCAAGTCTATCCCTCATTCTACATCCAAATGCAGCTTCCATATCCAAACCAATACATCACATTCAAATGTCGCCCCACACTCAAATCCATTCCTCACATCCAAACAAATTCCTCGCATCCAAATCCAACACTCACATCGAATTCCAGCATTCACATCATGTGGTGTTAAGTATAGTGATAACTATACGTCTGTGATAATTTTATTTAATTGCACCTCGTTGACAGGTTTTTATGTAGTTTGATTATGTTTCCTATTAGTGAGGTTGACAACACATGGCTGGAATACTGCCGATGTGAGTATATACCTTAACTCGCTAAGTCATTCTAATCACTTTTTTAAAGAAAGACTATGCCTTATCTGCTATAATTTAATGCAAAAGTAATTACAAAACCCAGTTAGATAGATCAAAGTAAACAAAAATGACCTTTCATAACCGTTCCTGGCAAAGGAATTACACATTATAACCTGATATAAATCAAGCCTTAAATTTAAACACATTAAATTTGTTGGGCCAGGGCAAGCTAGGCAAGCGTGCTGTTTCATTCCTTTTCGGTCATCGGTCCTGAAGGGAGCCTTGGAATATGCTTGAATTTCGCTCAAATGTTCAGTGTACAGTGATACAATTAGGCAGGTAGGGAATTCCATCCACTGTAACGTTAATTCCCAGGAATTACGTACGTAGTGGTGAAAGTAGTTCGCTTCAGTGCGCGGGACCAAATCATCCTACATGAATGCAAGAATGTGAAAATAATGAAAATGTAATAATTCACTGACTCACTTCCTATTCACATAACCACATCCAGTCATTAGATCCACGTTCAACCCTCGCACCTACACCCAAACATGTATCCAACTTCTTGGAATTAGAAGTATGCAGTGAAGTCTCACTGGAAGGACTCATTACCTGTCTCTTAAGGCTTGTCATTTATGTCCTTCCAGAAGACATACATTGTGTTATCTTATGACCTCATTCTAAACCTCATGCATGTATGTTTTAAATAGCTTCAGTAAAATTCAAGTACAACATTATCATCGCCAGGAGTGCCACATTGTCTGCACTTTAACCTTACAGTCGATAGCATTATAGTCGGCGCACCTGTAGAGGAAACAACTACGTGTGTACATATATACAAAGAGCATAAGAGAGTAGCACGACACATAGATATTATATCCAGGTCTTACATCATGTTTTGGGCAGTCTTATTTGTATGCCTTTTGCAACCTTGGAGTCTCTCTGGAATTATTATGCCAAACCCGAGTGGCAGTACAAAAGCGCCTAGCCTACAAAATGACATCACACGCCTGACACAGACCATCCAGTCAATGCAACAACAGTCAGCTGCTGAAATGTCTTCCCTGAAAGCTGAAATCCAGGCCATGAAAACCGAACTACAGCAATCATCGGATGAACTGATCCAGGTGAGGTCAGAACTGGACAGCATGAAACAAAATGTATCAGTACAAATGGAGCAGCTTGCAGATCTGCAATCGGTCGAGGAACAGGTATACAATTTGTCCGAAACCCTTGGTGAGTTATTTGTATACATTAATCATATACTTCCCATCAAAAGTTTAGACTCACTAGTGTTAATATAGCCACTTACTTCAGACAACTACTGTTCTAAACTTTATTGCGAAATATTCCATACTGTTTAAAGGTACTGTTTAAAGGTACTGTTTACACATGAACTGATGATGTATTGTAAAACATATTCGTAACGTTGGAAAGATTATTGTCATGAGTTCAGTAAATGATGAAAATCAGTGAAATTTGGCGAATTCTTAGCAAAACTAAACACCACAACGCAGCTGTTCACATGCACGATGTTTGCAGATTTTCAGCAATTTGCAATTGATGTATGATCCTCGTGCAATTCATCTGCATAAAGTTTGCAGTTGGTTCTCCCAAGTGTTCATAGAGAAAGCAATTTCCGATGTAAACCATACACACACACACACACACACACACACACACACACACACACACACACACACACACATATACATAACATATAGTGAGTGTTTTAAGTGAATCTAAACTTTTGAAAAGAGGTATATTAAAAGTAAGTTTCATCCTTCAAATATTTAAGCCACACGAGAATCAAATTGCCTTTGTGAGCATGAGAAAATTAGCATACAATCCACAAACTGACCACAATCAATTCCACCTTCCTATATCGGAATCCAATCATGTGATCCCTCAGTACTCCATGGGTCGGTGGAATTATTATCAAATTTCAACTTATAGGTAAGTTTTGTTTAATTTTATAATCAATGTATGTTACTATATCATACTGTGTGGCATATATGAGTGTTTTCACATAAGGACACTGAAATGTATAACATTTACAGCTCAGACAATCAACGCGCATAAAGGTGGGGGTGGGGGTGGGGTGGGGAGTAATGAGGGTGGCATTTCTCATTCATTATCTTTGTTAGGATAGCACATTTTTTCAACTCTATTATACAGCATCGAAAACCAGAGATGTGGCGTTTCACGTAAGCCAGCTTGACGGTGAACAGACAACCTACATACCTCTGAAATACCTCAAAATCCTCTACAACTCTGGGGATGGCTATAACTCCACCTCAGGGACGTTCACAGCACCCGTCTCGGGAACATACATGTTCTGGACACAGATACAAAATAGTCAGGCAAACACCTACATGGATGTCTGGATCATGAAGACTGGGAGAGGAGATATCCTGGCCAATGGTTGGGTGTTAACAGATTCTACTATCGTCGACGCTGATGCTAATGCCCAGACTGTCCTACACTTGGAAATGGGCGAGGAGGTATGGGTGGAGATAACCGTGGAACACGAGCTAAAGGATAGTGACGCATCATACTTTGGTGGAGTCCTGTTGTCAGTTCAATGACCACGAGTCCACAATAAAGCAACACGTCTTCAAAGATTATATGTGTGATGATTACCTGATCTAAAGTCAGTCAGTCGCCTTCATGATTAGTATAGTGTTCATCAGTATTAACTAAACAATCCCAAACAGTAATAGAGTATATGAAAAATAGATTAAAGTATGCCACGTTCCACTTAAAACTGAAGGTAGTGCCAAGGATCGTAACAGAGTTAAGGTACGATAGATTCAAATTAAGACAAAATAGCATAAAGATTTTAACAAAGTAGAGGAAAGTAAAGTTTCTTACCTGAGTGAATTGACTAGACAGCCACCGATTGTTATTGTGTTATTGTGAAGTTAGGATTATATCATTTAGTTTGACCGAAGCAACGATGATAAATATGGACAATGGATGACCAGTTGCGAGTATACCACGAATGTATATTTGGCACGAGCGTGATTTGACAAACGTGGAATACAAACAGCCGTTTATGTCCGATGCTCGTTATCAATGTGACCCTTGGCAAGTTTAAGACTGAGGAACGTGGTCAGTTAGTCTGCAATATTCCAGCTATATGGCGGCGGTCTGTAAATAATGAAGACTGGACCAGACAATTCAGTGATCAACATCATGAGCATATATCTACGCACAATAATTGTAAATCTAACAACAAATAGATCTAATTACTTTTGCAGAATTTTGGGATTACGGACCCCGCTGTGCTCTAATGTGTATGTCTTTGTTTCAATTTCAGTTTTGTTGATTTTAAAGGGTGATTTATGATCCCATACAGGTACACAATTAGCTATCAACAACGCCATACAGCTGGAATATTGCTGATTACGTCGAATCATCAGTCATCTGTCGAAATCACAACATGTTACATATACATAAGACATGGAATGTACTATTTGGGCTACTCAGTCATAAACATAGCGCCATTATGACAGTTTCAAAGAAAGGAAAAACAAATCGAAATCAAACTTGACATAGTATTCTTTCAGTCAGTTGCAAACACTCAAAGGGTCTGTGGTTGTATTTTTGTATCTCGTGTCTTATCGACAGAATCTGGGACGGATAGCGTCACATCATTTCAAACAAGCCTTTACACACTATTTGTTTACAAAATGGCGTCCACTCGTTTGATCTATCGTGCTACAATTTTGAACATGCCATGACATACAGTCTATAGTAACTCGTAAAATGTTCAGGTTCAACTTGACATCTTTCGTGTATATCAAATATAGTATTCACGTAAACCTGTGTATAAAAATGTGTTTATAGGGAACATCCCACTGTCGCCAAGGACAACACAATTTGGTGTTGATTGTCTTACCTCAAATACGTGGATTGCAAAAGGTGCACTTACGATATCGCTGTCTCCTGGTGATTGAGGACGCAGCCCCGTACAACACAACGTGATTATGGCTGGTGCATTATGAGGTCACTGTACCATCTAACCAGAGTTAGCTCATCCTGGCGCAAGCTTGATTTCATGTGGCGGGTTCAGCGATTCGGAGAAAGGTGGATGTCGGAGCTTCTCGGTCGACTGTCTGACGGAGAGACTGTTTGTTGCTGTGATAGTTTACTGCATAATCTCACACGTGACTACTTCGTTCACTGAGAACAGCTTGTGCTTTCATGTTACTGGGTTCGGTACTTGTGCGTTTTGAACAAACAATCCACGGAGCTTTTATGTGGTTCAACGAACGTGACGTCACTGTAAAGCATCCACGGATCGCTAAGTGAACGGCCATTTGGTAAACCGTTAAGTTTTTGACAATATTGGATTCAATACAGTGAAAAAAATGTAATTTCAAACCAAAACCCTCCACCAATAACTATAGTTTAGCTCTATCGAATATGACACTCCATATTATGAATGTATTCGCTTTTAGGCAGACTATGTAGGCAAATGAACCTTCATAGACACCGGTATGTACAGTTGTTCAACTTGTCACTTGCAAAAGACCCGTGAAGATCCGGGGTAGAAAAGGTCTTCAGCAACCCAGGCTTGCCACAAAAGGCGACTATGCTTGTCGTAAGAGGCGACTAACGGGATCGGGTGGTCAGGCTCGCTGACTTGGTTGACACATGTCATCGGTTCCCAATTGCGCAGATCGATGGTCATGCTGTTGATCACTGGATTGTCTGGTCCAGACTCGATTATTTACAGACCGCCGCCATATAGCTGGAATATTGCTGAGTAAATCTCAACTCACTCACTCACTCTCTCACTCACTTGCAAAACATGTCTCCCGACATATGTAACAAACAGCAAAATTAAATACAGACATCCTTCACTTTATTGCTTACTGCGATTATGTGCCTGACTCTAAGGGTGTGGGTTGAAATCCCGGATGGGACTCAACCTAACAACAGTACTAGAAGCTGTAATTTATTTAGAAAGTGTAATCTAAAATAAACCATATGTTACATTTGACCACTTTCTACATGGCGTTGTGTATTCATACTGTTTCAAGATACAGTACACATTCAACATCTGTGTGGATGCCATGAGTGAGAGCAAGAGTCAAGTTATAAATAAGCAGGTGCGCCTCATATAACAAATTAATTACTGCTATTATATTGATTATTGATTGCTGAATGACTGTGTAACCCAATAGTCCCGTGTTACCATCCAAACATCTTCCTTCCTTCCGTGTGACCCGTGAAGATCCGGACTAGAACTGATCTTTCACAACCCATGCTTATTATAAGATTCGATTTATGGGATCTGGGTCAGTCTCGCGGACTTTGTTGACACATGTCTGCATGTCCTGGTTGCGTAGTTTGGTGCTCATGATGTCAATCCCTGAATTGTCTGGTCATGACTTGATATTTACAGATCGCCGTCATATGTCGACACTATTGCTGCGTGCGGCGTTAAACAACAAACAAACATCATGATCACTGGATTGACTGGTCCAGACACGGTTATTTAGTCCGTCGTCATAAAGCTAGTATATTGGCGAGTTTGGTCTAAAACAAACAAAAAACAACAAACCACTAATTGGATATACGATACTGCAGACTCCATGACCCGTAACCATTAACGTACAAAACATCTTTATTCCATGCTCCCGTGTGTTGACATTACAGTGTCATACTAAAACGTTGTATAAGTTATAATATTAAAAAGTAAAATGAAACCAAAAGTCCCGTTCAGTATGCAGAGCAGTACATCGATCCACAGCGCAGTCGTGACGCACATGTGCAAAAGGTATTTTAATGAGATTTCAGTTTTAGAATAGCCAACATCACAGTTCTAAGTGTTATCGCTCATCCAGCGGGGGCAGCTGTACAGTGAGTGAGTGAGTGAGTTTAGATCTTCACGGGTCTCAGCTGTACAGCGGATGATAGAGACATACACTCAGTCGCTACATATATATATAAGTTTGATGGAAAACAATAATTCCATTTACACTGAAGAAGAGCCAGTGAGATGGGAGATTCGGGGGAAAATAATTATTTGCTTTCCCATTGCAGAGAGGGCTGGGTGGAAGGGAAAATAATGTGCTTCAGGAACTGTGAGACAGAATACGCAGCTGTGGCTTATCATATGAAATTGATAACCATCCATGCTTTGCAAATAACTATATCTATTACATTGTTAAGATTACATGCTATTCACAACTGTTCATAACAGTTGTCCTTACTCTGACAAATATTCAAAACTTCATCTGTTCTCGTCACGATATGGCTGAAATATTGCCGATGTGACGATAAATATTAACTCACTCACTCGCTCAAAACTCATCCTTTACAACCAAAGATAAAGTACTTTGGGTTACTCATTGTTACAGCTAGCTTTGATACATATATTCAGTACAATATTATATTGTTTATAATAATATTGTCACGTTTTGATTCTCAAGTTGTAACAAGAAGACAAAGTCATCAATATCCCCCGCAATGGCAAAATACTCTTCATGATTATGTCTACGAGGTATGATTATGTCAAATATTTAGGTGTGTATTATAGAAAAGTGGAAGGAGAGTATTGAAAGGTTTTTAAAGTTCTGCTCCAGAAAGGAGCACCAATTCCAAAACTACCAAAAAGGAACCAGTACACCACTAGACTAATCTATGTGTCAAGTTTGGTGAAGAAATAGTGAACGGTTTTAGAATTTAGCTCCGGAAAAGTGCACTACCACCAATTTCAGGCTAAGTCAACTTGTTGCCATGGAAACGCCAAAAATATTTTATTCAGAATTCCAAAACTACCAAAAGGCACCAGTACACCACCAGACCAATCTATGTGCCAAGTTTAGTGAAGAAATAGTTAACGGTTTTAGAGTTCACCTCCGGAAAAGAGCACAACCACCAATTTCAGGCTAAGTCAAATTTGTTGCCATGGTGCCATGGAAATGCCAAAAATATTTTATTCAGAATTCCAAAACTACCCAAAGGCACCAGTACACCACCTGATCTATCTATGTGCCAAGTTTGGTGAAGAAATAGTTAACGGTTTTAGAGTTCTGCTCCGGAAAAGTGCACTACCACCAATTTCAGGCTAAGTCAAACTTGTTGCCACAGAAATGCCAAAAATATTTTATTCAGAAATCCAAAACTACCAAAAGGCACCAGTACACCACCAGATCTATCTATGTGCCAAGTTTGGTGAAGAAATAGTTAACGGTTTTAGAGTTCTGCTCCGGAAAAGTGCACTACCACCAATTTCAGGCTAAGTCGAACTTTTTGCTATGGAAACGCCAAAAATGTTTTATTCAGAATTCCAAAACTACCAAAAGGCACCAGTACACCACCAGATCTATCTATGTGCCAAGTTTGGTGAAGAAATATTGAACAGTTTTAGAGTTCTGCTCCGGAAAAGACAAATGTGCACGGACAGACGGACGGACGGACGGACGGACGGACGCACGCACGGACGGAGTCCATTTTAATACCCCCCGCAAAACGCGTTGCGGGGGATAACTAAAAGCGTATGCGGGAATCAATCTGTGAAAGACCTAGGTGTGAAACCAAGAAACCAATCTGTGTGATGTAATTTGTATTGTAAAATTTACAAAGTTCACAATCGACAAACATGTATCAC